ATTATAATGCATTATATTTGACTGCCCAACGTGCCGATGAGTAGACTATATGTAGAGGAGCAGTCAATAAATACACATTATATTATATTTATAATGCTCGCCTTCAGACTGTGCTCAATACAAGTTGAGATCATGACTACCATTACTCCCAGTAAGTCTCAGGGCATAGGCGCTTGATACAGTGCACCGGGCTTGGAGGTTCAAAGAGGCCGCCCGAGGACAATGCACAGGTGGTGCAATGCACTTTTCAGCCCAATAAAGGTCAAGTCTGTTAGCAAGACTATGAATGTACAACACTAAGACCTTTTACAAACAACAAGAGGAAACTGTATGTTTACTGTGTATAAACATTTACACCAAGTTTACATGACTTCATTTACACACACGGAACTGGTAAACAGTAATAAACGTTTATACACAGTAAACAAACAAAACGGTTGGAGCCTTACTGAAGTTGCGCAAGAAAAAGCCAGGCTGTGAAACACATTACACGAGTGCGAAAAGTCAGTTGATGAGAGTGGGATTCGAACCCACGCCCTTTCGGACCAGATCCTTAGTCTGGCGCCTTGGACCGCTCGGCCATCTCACCATGAAGAGAGAACCGTCCGTGCCCTAGGTATTGCAAACAACATCGCGCAAGCCACCACACCTCACCGCTACCAGAGGGCGGAATATTTCCGATACATGTCACACCCGGATACCGTCATGGTGTCCGAGGGGCCGTTACTTCGCTGCTTGCTGACTCGCTCAGAGAGCTATCGCACGAGGGTAGCCCTGGCCCATCGGCTAGCGCGACAGTGGGCGACCATCCGGACCCACTTGGACTTAGGCTGGCATTTGGCCTCGCTCTCGCTCCGTGCCCAATAGCAACTAGACTCGGGCCTGAGCTGTACCCGTTCGATCGTGCAATGCATTCGAAGATGAAGTCTCATGATATGGATATGGGAGGTTAGTGCCGCCCTTCCACGTCGAGTCACGCTCTTTGCGCCGTCCTCGGGAATATGCGCATACGAAGACGTGCACCTGACAGTACCAGATGAGATTCTCTCGTTGATGAGACGATCACCGTCGACGATGTCGTTCGAGCACGTCGTTTTGAAGCAAAGCCTGCGGAGCAGCACGGCGTCTGGAAAACCTGGAGACTCCTGAAGAATTGAGAGAAAGTGATCATCATCATTACTACCATAGTCTACGCCGGGATGAGTGTAAAGGCTAAAGTACAGACTGTGCCCCGAGCATGTACTCGCCAGATCAGATATTGTTGACTCATAGAGCAACGGGGCAGGGCCTCTTTGTCGCTATCAATGAGCCCAAATACTGCTCTCAAGGTTCTGCAGAGAGGAATACTCTCCGGTCTATTTCGGATCTATGTAGCCCATCATTGAACATCAGCAGCGCGACGCGTAGAGCATGAATGAACGCACAAGGGGCCGAACTTCCCTCCGAGCTCAACCCGCCAGGTTCCGCGCTCCGATAAAGACTGGAAGTGGGCAACGATTGCCCGCAGCTTCTCTTGAATTGGGGGAGCTTTCCAGCCCGATGTCGTCAGGGTGACTGTCTTTACACGATCCGCCGACAGAACGGTGCCCTCCACAGGGCCTATGCTACTCAAGATGTTGGCCACGGTGGTTTCTTGTAGATAAACAACGTCAAATACAAGGACAAGGCTTGGAGAAGTGACTGAGGGGAGAAGCAGCTGGAGCATGGTGCTTGTAGTAAGACAAGTTGACATTGCAAAGCAAGACGGGGAATAATCGTCACTCAGGTGGATGCGAACAGAGAACTTCGACAAGCTCTTGTAGGCAGGAAGACATACAGGTTGCAAGGCGCCACTAAATGCTTGAGAGCAGGTCAGATCAACGTACTTAGCACACTGCTGAATGCGCACCTTCAATGAAGTCGGGATGAGCACTGTACCCATGTGCGCTGAGGTCTATGCACAGCTCATCAAGACGAGGTCCAAACACTTCGATGATACGAGCGACGCGTCGCAACCGCATAGGGCTTTGGCTGTCGAGGTTGGCAGTGATACGTCGCAAAGAACCGAAACTGTTCTGCCGCACGATCATAGCTGCGAGCACCTGCTCAAACTGGGAAAAATAGGACCCTTCCTCGATGAATTCGAGAGACTCGAGGGAAAGGGAAAGCGAGTTTATAAGGACGCTAGGCCCCATATCGGAGAAACTCCGTGGAGGGCTTGGAAATGAGGGTGGAGATGAGGCTTCTGATGAGCCTGTAATGGGAGGCGATCTCCCAGGCTCTAGAATAGTCGTGTTGAAGACAAGCTGCTTGAGACAAGGGAAAGCTGACAAGAAGGCGAGGATATTGTCTTTAAGCTCGTTTGTGGGGAAGTCGTCCCAGATCAGAAGGGAGTGGAACTCCATGATGCGAAGGCGAGGGGCGCTTTTGAGGATGTTTAGCAGCAAGCTCGCCTTTAGAATGTGTTCATTATCGCATGCCGGCCCCACAAAGCGGATCTCCTGGATGTATGCACCAATGCGCGGGGTACCGACCAAGAAATCCTTCACTGCATCAAGAGGTTGCCCAGGAAGAGGCTCCGAGTCGCTGATGCAACTGCTGCTGCAATTATGGAAGCAGTCATTTGAGTAAAGGAGAAGACTAGAAAACAGATAAGTCTGGCTGAGTGCTTGCCAGGAGCGACAGACGAGAGCGCAGCAGGACAGGGCGTCTTTATTGTTGCGCAGGCTGTCGATGACCATTTCCTGTAGCTCCACAGGAACTCGGGGAGGGGATGGGGAAGTTGCGACAGCACTAGACTTCGAGGTCGAATTCTTGTACATGCTGGGAGAACAGGGTTCGAAATATGTGTTAGAGGTTGCGAAGACGTTCGCTAGAGCTGGCCCGATGAAGCACTCAGTTTTTATGCCATAGTGCGAAGAGAATCAATATCGCAGCTAACCTAGGATAGCCAGGAGATAAGAAGAAATCTTACGCTGTATTAGCACTCTGTCTATCCTGTAGAAGCATCGAAACTGACCTCAGCTCTTCTCTTGTCGTGCGAAGAGAACTGAGGAGACGGCCAACGCACTGGTGGCTCCGAGTCGCACCTGACTCAGCTTACATAATAATTGCTACTGAAACAGGAAAGTGTAGTATCTACGCTTGATGAGTATAGAACCACTGCAAGACGAGGGTTGCAGCACGCAAGATGCGAACGCTGGCAAGCGTTCGGGATTGCCTCGCGTCTGAGTGACCACTGTCATAGAATATGTAGCGCGGCATACGAAGCAGAGTCTTTTTTGAGGGCTAGATTTGATGCTCCTCACTGCATATTACAACTGTACAAGTAATAGCATCATGGACGAACTTAAAGGCGGCGCGGAGCCGCAGTTGTACCGCAGATACCGGATTGCGTTCGACATGCTGCGCAGAAAGAGAGTTAGCGTAGATAGCGTAGTTGCAGAGAAACTGTGCCAGTGCGCATGGCATGAATGGTCTATGGTGGAGTCATTATCCAAGCGGCAGAGCCTTATAAAGGATTATAGGCGAGGAGAAGACATATATGAGTCTATAGTGGCTGAATTCGGAGTCGCAGCTGAATTAGAGCCCCACACTTTCCGACATTGACGGTGGTGACTGCAGTGGTCTGGTTATTCAAGCTGCCGACTTTCCGTGGGCTATCTGCAGCAGGGGATATATTCTATGACGCTACGCAAACTTCAGTGAAAGGATGCAATAGTTCCGCCGAATTTTACCCTGGCCATGCAGGATAGAGGACCCCCTCGCCTATTCCAAATCGTAGCTGATAAATTACGCGTGTCCCCATGGTCTTGACTGACCCGGTGGATGCAACCCGAGCGTTGTTGCGGCGCGCTTTGGCTGCGTATTCGGGTGCACCTGTCGGACCAAAAGCGTACAATTCATACGGTTCACGGGCTGCGTACGCACGTTTCAGTGATTTGCAACCAATCAATGTCAGCTTCGTCATTACTCGCCAGACTGTGTAAACAACTGGGCTGAAGAAACATGGAACGAGAAGGCGAGAAATCGAGCTGCGTAGAAAGGTGAGAAATGAGCGAAGATATCATACATACTCTGGGCAACGAAATCATGGCGTGTCACGCTCAGGCTAGGAGAGCATGTTGAAAGCCTAACAGTATAGGAGTGACTGGCGTACCAAGTGCCAGAGGTGTTAAGAACCGTCGAATGAAATTCCAGCACGAAGTCAAACTTGGCTCGGAACGTCTGGATGCACAAGTTTCATCGCATCTAATCTTATCGGCTACTTGCCTAATCAAACGTAAACGCCGTCCCCGGCTGCTTGAATTAACGAAAGAAGGTAGAGGGCCGGACTGTTCAAAATCACCACGATAGTCGCATAAATGAAATATACGATGACTGATCATGTACAGCTTAGGTACTGCTCTCAAGGCTCTGCAGAGCAGAATATCTCTCGGTCTATGTCGGGCCTGTGTAGTTTATTGAGCATCAGTAGCACGGCGTGCAGACAGAAATGAACGCACAAGGAGTCGAATATCCCTCCGAGCTCAACACGCAGAGTACTATGCACCAACAGAGACTGGAAGTGATCGACGATTGCCTGCAGTTTCTCTTGGATCGGGGGCGCAGCCCGAGGTCGTCAAAGTGACTGTCTTTACATGGCTTGTCGATAGAATGTTGTGCACCACGTAAAGCATGCCAATCAAGACGTGCACCTCAGGGGCAGCTTGTAGATAAGCAACGTCGAAGTCGAGGACAAGGTTTACGGAGGCGATTGAGAGCGGAAGCAGCTGGAGAATAGCATTCGCCATAAGGCAGACTGACGTCGCAAAAGGCTGGTAGTGGCTAAAGGTGGACATGCGAAGAGTCAAATTTGCTAAGCTTTTGCAGACAGGAAGATGCAAGGCGTCGTTGAGTGCTTGAGAGCTGGTCAGACTTGTGTACTTGAGATACACTACTCAATTGCGCACCTTCAACGTAACTATTATGATCAATATCGTATGTATGCGAAAGGTCCAAACAAAGTTCGTCAAGACGAGGTCCAAATACTCCCATGAAACGATTGATATATTGCAGCTGGCGAGTGTTCGCAGGCGAGATTGATAGTTAGACGTCGCAAGGAGCTGAGGCTGTCCGGTCGCGCCGTCACAACATCAAGCACCGGCTCAAATGCAAAACCATCAGTACATGACCTGAGAATTTTCAAACATTCAAGAGGTAAGGAGAATGGGTGCACGGGACTGCCAGGCCCTGTGCTGACGGTAGCCTGTGAGAAGTCTACGGGTGCGGGTAGAGACGAGTTCGCGATGGAGGGCGTTCTGCATATATTCGTGGTGTTGAAGACGAGCTTCTTGAGACAAGGGATAGCTGACACAAAGGCGAGGAAGTTGTCTTTGAGCTCGGTCGCGTGAAAATCGCCGCGAATGCCGATGCAGTGAAACTCCAGGACGCGGAGGCGAGGGACAACATCGAGGATATCCAAGAGCAAATTCGCCTTGAGAGGATAACGGCCACTGCGAGTCGATGACCGGATAAACCGAGTCTCCTGGACGTATGAGCCAATGCGCGGGCTGCCGACCAAGAAATCCTTCACATCCACAAGGGTTCGTCCAGAGGGAGGCTCGCCATTGCAACCGAGGCAGTTGTTGGGGCAGCGACGGTCTACGCGAAGAAGAAGACTGAAGAATAGATGGCGTTGGCTGGGTGCCAGCCAGGAGCGACAAACGAGAGAGCAGTAGGCCAGAGTCTCCTTGTCGCCGCGTAGGTTGTCGATAATCATGTCCTGTAGCTCCACAGGAACCCGGGGCGTGGGGGGTTCGCATCTTTCGGTTCGAACAGCTACGGTGGAATTTGGCTCCGAGGCCGAGCTCTTGCACATGTCGAGGCGACAAGACACAGATGCGGACGCCGGCGAACGCTGCGGTTGCTGAGTGCTGACAAGCGCCCGTGCACAAGGTCGCCGAAATCGAACAGTGATAACTTGACTGGCCAGGTCATGTCACTATCAAGCGCATACGCGACCCGTGTTTTTCTGGTCTTTGCTGCGATGTGCGAAGTAAACTGGCGCTTCTCTAGTTTAGCTAGTGCACACTGCACTCGGGCAATTTAAAAAAGCGCAGCCAAAGCCGCAGCGGCAGCAACTATAAGGCGCAGTCCACCGTCTAGTCCGGAATACTGCGGGACTCCACGTAGCTCACTGATCAAGATTTGAAGCAATTTAGCTGGACTGCGGCGCAGTAATGCTGCTCTATGACTCCCCTGGGCAGTACATCGCTCGGCGGTGAGCAGCGTTGGCGACAATAAATACCGCTGTCGCTCGTGCGTGCTTTCCCAGCTCTCAACTCATCTCTATCTGACAAATGTACGCTCTAGAGGACTTTTCGCGGCTATTTGCTGAAGCTAGCACAATTCACAGAATATGTCGTCCACCACATCTCTTATCACAGGTATTCCTCAGCGACCCAGCAACCTAAGAAATTCAACCACTCCCGTCACCACTCCCAATGTCGGAAGGCGCGGTCCTAGCTCAGCTACGACTACTACTACAGCTGCCACAGACGGCTCATATGCGTCTGGTCCGTGTCCGTATCGGAGGCCGGCGGGGCCTCCTTTGCCGGGCGCTGCCACTTGGATGATGACTCCGCCGTAGGCCATTCATATCGTGCGCATAATTTCTTGTGACGATGCTGTCCAAACTGACTCTTCTGCCGCGCAGCATGTTTCTGCAAGCTGGTAGTTGAGCCCCAAGTACGCGGTTTCACGCTGCCTTCGTCCACAGCGCCAATTTCCTCTGTGATTTTGACGTGATGGCGAGCGTAAAATTAAACCCTTAGGATATATACTGTACTTTGCATACCGTGACCGTGATGAACATACCGTGATATCCCGAGGCAACACAGCAAGCACTGCTGTCAGATCGCGATAATAAATTAGTACCATAGTTGTGCTTGTACTAGATGCTGTCGGGCCATGAACTTGGCCAACAAGAGAGAAAGTTGCGCGCGATAGATAAATAAGATATACCCAGTCGGAAAAAAAAGAAATAGTATACGAGCGTGAGGTCTAGGTCAAGCTCAAAGCGGGCGGGGCCTTTGTGGCGACCACGCTCACGTGAGAATAATTGACCCGTGGGCGCTTGCCGCGTGCATCCCCACAGGGTTGTTCTCGCCTCGCCATGTCGCGCATCCCGCCGCCTTCCACGTCCCGCTACAGCGCACGCAGCCCAGCAAAAGACTCCGTCCATATCGCCCTCAAGGCTCCGCGCGTCCTCTACACCCCGCACTAAGCCGCCACCAAGCCCGACACCAGGCAGCAGGACGCTGCGTCCCCAGAGTAGCCTCCAAGCCTCGAGGCCAATCACTCCGTCCAAGTCTCCGTTAAAGAAGGTCAAGCCTCTTCCAGAGGAGCCCCCGGCATCTCCTCAGCTTAACATCAGAGAGCAGATTGCGCTCAAACGAGCGGAGGCGAAGAAGGCACAAGCGAAGAGCGCGCCGCCCACAAATGGCTTCGATGACTTCGAGGGATTGGAGGACGCTACATCTACTCGTGATCCAAGTCCGGATGAGAACGCTATTGATTTGGGAAGGTGGTCGGTGAAGGAGACGATTGAGAGAGCACGGACGACGGGTGAGTCTTGCTTTGTCGGCTGAAGCACATCAAGTCATAGCATGATGCGTACCAGCCCTCCCTCAAGCTGTGCATATTAAAGTCCATGTTCACACGTCAGATCGTGTACTCACGCGCATATATACTGCTTTCAGGTGCCGTAAACCTTGCTTCTCGGGGGCTACCGTGCCTGCCCTCTGCATTGTTTGAGATACACCTTGGCATAAAGCCAGAGCCGCTGAAACTTGTCCCGGTCGAACCATCAATTACAACGGGTACTTCAGACGACCCTTCTGCATCTAAGCGACGCAATGGTGGTTTGAATTCTCCATCTTGGTATGAAGCACAAGATCTCGAGATCCTAAAGGCATGGTCGAACGAGATCCTTGAAGTGCAGCCAGAGATATCCATGTTCGGCTCACTGAAGAGTGTCGATGTGAGTCTTCGCTTTCGACACTGAAACGTCATCGATGTTGATATACTGATTCGACTATATGCTAGTTGCACAACAACAGACTTACCTTCCTTCCCGACTCCTTCGCTGATCTCACTGCGTTGACGTCGCTGGACCTTTCACACAACTCTTTGACGTCTCTACCTGCCAATATATTCGCTCTGCCCTCTCTCGCTGCTCTTAATCTGTCCCATAACTCTCTCACATCCCTACCCTTCTTCGCGCCGTTCTCCGACTCCGTTAATCCTCTGGGACGGACCAAGGATCCTCGGGGTGACTGGTACTGTGATACTATCACCCGTGCTACTACGGTCTTGCCAAGACTGTCCGTCCTAGATATATCGCACAACAAGTTGTCCGCGGCTTCTATCGACTATGAGCTGAACCACCTGCCCGCTTGTCTCGCCAAGCTCGATCTCTCATCGAACCCTCTAGGACAGTCTACTTCTCTCATCCGCGCATTGTCGAAGTTGGAGAAGCTTGGCGAACTGAAGTGCGAGCACGCCGACATCGGCGATGATTCCTTCCCCACGACGCTCTTCTCGTCGGAATCCACGCCCTTCTCCTCGCTTAGCGTCCTTGATCTTGGTGAGACCTACGTCACCCGCCCGGCCATCGAGGCCGCCTTCCTTCTCACTATCGTCAAGCAGAAGATTGAGTACGACGTGACGTCGGATGCACCAAAGCCTGGTGTCCTGCGCGTCATTGTTGGCAAGCGCGTCATCAAGGAGGTTTGGGAGATCGAGGCCGAGCGAAGGACAAAGGCTCGTGGGCGACATAATTCAAAGAGTAATGACACGAAAGATGGATGGGCCGGCCCACTCGGTGGTAGCTCACCAGCGAAGAAAGAAGTTGCGAAGGAGACTTGGGAGATCGAGGCCGGGCAAAGTCTTCTAACCGAGGGCGCGAAGAGGCGTGCTCGCGCAGCAGCTGCCGCTGCCGCCCCGGAGTCAGGCCTAGTGGACTCTGCTTTGTTGTCTCCGCCCAAACCTTCACTACCAGCGCTGAAGCCTGTCGAAAAGGAGGCGTGGGAGATTGAGGCGGAGCTAGGCTTGTTGACAGCAGGTGGCCGACGGCGCGCTCGAGCAGCGGCAGTGGCAGCAGCCGCGCACCAACAGCAGCCTACACCTGCAGCAAGTCCGAGTCCAGAGCCGCAGTCGTCGGCCGCGTCGCCCATACCTTCAGCAAGTTCTGCGCTTTCAAGCACACAGTACTACACTGCCGCAACACAAACGCTCACCCTGCCGCCATCCGCTGCGTTGCGCAAGAACGAGCACTTTCGTTCATTTTCCCTGGCTATCAAGCCTACACCGGCGGGGTCAGCATCCGAATTGGCACTGGCGGTCCCGACGCCGACGCTCCCGCTCGCTGCTATCATCACCCAGCCCTTCGCACACACGCTCAAGGTCCTCGTGCTTACCAGCAGGAAGATGGACAGCTCGTTCAGCCTGCCCGCAGACTCTGATGGGCCGTTCCTGCCTGCGCTTGAGGAGCTCGTGCTGGAGGGCTGCGGGCTCGGCGGCACCGTCCCCGTATCGCGCGTCGCGGCGGCCGACGCGGCGAGCGGCACGGCGCCGCGTACGAGCGAGGCACTCCTCCCGCTGCTCATGCTGCTCTTCCCGGGCCTGCGCACGCTCGACCTGAGCTACAACGCGCTCGACGGAGACGCGCTCTCGCGGGACGCCCTCGCGGCGCTCGTGCTCGCAGACGCGGCGGCGGGGCGCGCGGGGCTGCGGTGCCTGCGCCTGCGCGGGAACGCGCTCGCGGCGCTCGACGGCTTCGAGCGGCTCGCAGAGATGTTCCGGGGCAACCGCGACGTGCGCGAGTGGACGCTCGAGGAGCTCGACATACGGGACAACGAGATCGGGCGGCTGCCGCCCCCGGTAGGGCTCCTCCCGCTGGAGGTGTTCCTCGTCGACGGGAATACGTGAGTGCTGTCGAGGATTCTGGCGGCGAGAATGTTGTGCTGACGTTGCGGCGTGTAGGTTCCGCGTACCGCCGAGGCGGGTTTGGGAGCGCGAGGGCACGAAGGGGCTCTTGAGCTGGCTGCGAGGGCGCATCGAGTAGGGGGAACGCTTCTTGGAAAGCAAGGACTAGCATCTCATTCACAGCTGATAATTTAATTCACAAATAATTGCACTGCATGGGACTTGTTTGGTAGCTTCTAGCGCTGCATCATTGAATCACAAAAAGAGTTACATGAGGTGAATCCGTTGGATATGCAACCTCCGGGGAGTTAGGTTAGGGTTTCTGAGGGCCCAATCGGCGTCTACGCAGTCTAGCTCAGTCCTATACTTTCATCCTCTCTCATCCTCTCTCTCTGAGCACTCGAATCTCCGCCCTCGGATTTGAAGAGAATATACAGAACGATGGAAACCACTGCATTCTGTGCGCCGAAGAAATCCGAATCTGCACCCTGTGCCCACACGGCAACCACGGTCCCGCCACCCGCCCTTCTGTCTCAGCGCAACCGTCCCTCATTGTCTTAAGCTTCAAGTTAAATCGGCCGTCTTCTGTCCGTTATCTTAGGTACAACACCCGGATCATCACTACTTGAAGCGTGAGACTATGTCATGCGAAGGTCATCTGCTACCACAGAGCAGTCGAGGCCGCGACGGATGGGAAGACCCCTCGCTCATCTCTCCATCCATTGGCCACCGACCCAAAGCGGCGCAAAGTCTATCGTTTGACTGCTCGTGACTGTGCTTCAGGATCCGGCCATGGCCATGATGTGGGGGCCAGGTGGACACTTTGCGCGTATATATTCAGTCTGAAAGGCCCCAGCTCCCCGTACTCCAACTCTCTCCCGCAGTTTCAGGCTACCTCTGCTAGAAAAGCAATGTCCCAGCAGGCTGCAAGCACCTCCCGCATAAACTCCATCGACCCCTCGCAGCTCGCGCCTATGCACAAGTAGGTCGCGCTGCCGCACTTCACTGTAGTCAGCGCTGACTGCAATACCAGGGTACCGCAGTCGTCCGGCACCGGCGACTTCAATGTTGTCTTCGTTGGTGCTGGCAACATCATGTTCGGTGAGTCCTCATCGAGCCTGCACTTCAATCTTTCGTCCTCACGGAGCTCGTGATGTACTGCACAGGCTCAGACGAGGGTCCCTGGAATCACTCCTTCCGCTTTGAACAGTACGTGTCCTTGTGCGACTGACACATTCCATGGCTGATCACTTGTTCACAGCAAACTCGGCCCCCGCTTCAAGCTCGTTGCGCTCATTGATCCCGCGGTCGAAAACGCAGAGAAGCGGCTACAGCAGAAGCGTGAGACCTTCGTGCGTTCAGCCTATGAAGATACCAAGGTCTTCCGCAACCTCGACGAGTTCGTGCAGAATATGACGCCCGACATGGCTCCGCGGGCGATCGTTGTTGGCTCCCCACCGATGTTCCGGGGCACAACGAAGACCGGCCGGGACATCGAGCTGCAGATCCTGAAATATTTTCCTGGTGTCCCACTATTCATCGAGAAGCCCGTGGCGACAGGCGCGAGGGAAGAGCTTTCTGATATCTTCGAGGTTGCCAGGTCGATTCAGGCTAGTAGGACCATCTGCTCGGTTGGGTAGGCCATCCTCCGGCTGCAAGGCTGATCATCTGTGAGCTTAACGTCGTGACATAGGTACATGCTGCGCTATCTGCGGGCTACGCAGATGATGAAGAAAATCATCGAGGAAAATAACCTGACGGTAATCGCGACGATCGCCCGATTTGCCGCCGCTTACGAGGCCATCGCCAAGCTTGATTGGTGGGATAAGGCGAAGAGGTGCATCTGGAATTTTGGCAGTCTCTCTCTTTCGAAGGCTTACGCGAAAATGACATCCAGTGCCGGACCAATCATTGAACAGGCAACGCACTTTTGCGATCTCTCGCGCTATTTCGGCGGCGAGGTCGATATCTCGACCGTTGTCGCGCATTCGGTCGAATGGGATGACGAGCCCGGGCGGCTGTCGAAGCTACAGATCGACGAATCGGTTATCCCGCCCGAGAATCGAGTCTCGCGCGCGACGTCTGCCACCTGGTCGGTCGCGTTTCGAATCCGCTTTACAGGATGGCCCATGCTGATTTGCGTGTGTGCGCAGGAAATACGTCGGCGGCGCTGTTGGGAGTCTGAACCACCTCACTGCTTTGCAGGGCCACGATTACAGCTGCGAGCTCGAGATCTACGCGGACGGCTACCAGCTCAAGTATGTGCCCTCTTACCCAGATGGCACGTCAACTAACGGAGGTTTCTCTAGGCTCGTAAACCCGTACGTCCAGCCAGTTCTGTACATCCGCCGGCCAGGCAGCGACGCCGAGGAAGTGCACAACTTCGCGGACGACGACCCGTTCTTCTCGGAAGTCTCGGTCTTCGTCGACAACATCGAGGATGTCGAAGATTCGCCAGAGGCGGCGCGGATTCTCTCGAGCTTCGAAGATGGTGTGCGGACGTACGAGCTGACGTGGGCCATCCGCGAGGCCGCAGAGCGCTCGCGGGCAGCGTCGAAGGCGAGGTCCTCGTGAAGACGAGAAGAATACTCAAACGCAACTGTTCCATACGTGTAGAGAAGTGAATAGACCTCGTTCGCTCCGGATAGTCAGTAATCACAGTCTCGTGATCAGCCGGATGCTACTCTGGCGATGTCACCATACAGCGCAGTGCTTCGAGATTGTCTTATCGCTGCGATACCATATTTTGCTCGTAGGCCTTGGTCATGCATCTTAAGAGCGGTTGAGAAGCACTTTGCGCCATGCCTCTCAACCCATGATGGCGTGCACCACTGCGCCAAAATACGACACTCTACACTCGAAATGAGACCGCGACCCGTTGATGCAAGGGCACGAATGCATTATAAGACGTCTGCTGTCACGCCAGCAAAGCACGAACAAATCTCACTTCTGCGAGATGCGTTGGAGATGTGCAAGACGCTGGGGCAGTGTTGTAGACTACATTCAGAAGCGCAGAGTGCGGAAGTGCGCTTAGTAGAAGGACGCGGCGAGGTTATTTACAGAACCTCGAGCTCAACTCACGCGAGCAAACAAGTACTACCGAATACTTAATCTTTCATACTCTACCTACTTGGCTTCATCAATGGATCTGTGTTGACGGATTTCAGGTACGCGATGCATCGCATGCGCGTGCTGATCTGGTAGGAGGGTCTCCAGAAATGGGTGTTCGAGCATACTCACAATAACTTCTTCGAGTCGCTCTGCAAGAAAGTCTGGGCAATGCGAATGCCGATGAGTTCCCACTCACACCGCCTTGTACGGACTCTGAATCGAAGTTCTCGATTCCCGAGCTCAAAAAGTCGTCACGGGCCTATCGTTCTTGGAGCAGTTGAAAACACATATAGAAAAATCTACAAAGAGAGTACGTCCTGCATTATATCCGCCATCTGGACTGGGTAGGTGTACGAAACCCCAGCCGCCTTCAGTGCCGCCGCTTTCAGTGCCACAAAGTTCGGGCTACCCAGGCCAGTGACAGGGTCCCAGCCTTCCAGAGCTGGGAAGCCGCTCGCGTTGCACCCTGGATTGCTACCAGTCGTAATGTCATTGAACGCATCAGGATTCGCGTACAGGAATGGGTTAAGGAAGCCGAGGGTGCTCTTGTTGGCGGCGATGAGCGCGTCATTGATGAGCGTGATCATACCCGCGAAGATAGGGCTCGCGCAGCTCGTGCCGGCCACTGTCCCACTCGTGCCGTTAACGACGATGGTAACGTTCACCCCGATCGCCGCGACATCCGGGTACCCGCGCCCCGAGGTGTTGAACTTGCCGCTGTTCGTCGAGCCAATAGAGGAGAGGTAGGACTCGACGGCATGGGCTTGGTATGACGGCGTGACGAAGTCGTTGGAGAAGCCGCCGGCGGAGAACGACGCGGCGGTCTCTCCGCCAGACGATGAGGTTAGCTGGGTGGCGCCAACGGAGGTCATGCTACCGATCTCTTTGTTATTCGGGACGCCTTAAAAGGGACGTGCGAAAAATACTTACAAGGGGCACCCGGAGGGGAAGGTGGGGACGAATTTGGAGCAATTATGTGACTGCGCACCGGAGACACCACCGTCACCGGAGGCAAAGATGATGGAGGCGCCGCGGGCGCCGAGTTGAGCGTAAGCATTACAAAGTTTGCTATTCCATGTCAGTAAGTTGCCAAGTCCGAGCTGCAACACACAACTCACGCAGCAAGCAAGGGAGAGATCTCGTTCTCGTTCTCGCCGTAGCTGGTTGTCAGGACCTGCGGTGGGTTGGATTCGCCGAGGAGGAAGAGTATGATATCCAGGAAGCCGCCAAGTTCGAAGCCGTCGTGATTATCTTCGCCAACAGAGATAAATGTGACTGGCGCGCCTTGGCTGATGCTGGTAGCGTACTGGATATCGAGATTCTATCGAGTGCATCCGATGAGCGCATGTATAAGAGTGCGCCAGACAAATACGCACCGCCTCAATGCCGGCCTCGCTTCCATTCTGCGAGTTGCTGCCGCCATCAATGGTCTGAAGAGTGAAGGTCATTCCACTGAGATCGGGTTGGAATTTATCTAGGAAAGTCTGCAAGTACAATTGTCAACATTTCGTAAGCTTAAAATGTTAACTATTGTGCGCACTGCAAGATCGACCTTGTTGGCGAATTGCTCGTTGAAGCCACTGACAGCGAGGTAGTTGGAACTTTGGGTAGCCCTAGCGGTGGGTATGCCGTACAGGAATTCGATACAGGCGGGTGTGATCCCATCTGTTGAGCAAGACTTCATTTCCTCAGTCGCACGGCGCTCGAGGCCAGACCTTGTCGAAAAGGCGGGACGAATGTGGATCAGGTTTGAGAACCTGTAACACTAGTCAAACCTACGCTCATACCAAGCCAGGGCGTTACTCACGTGACCGAAGGGTGCATGAGGTCGATGTGCTCCTTAAGTCCTGTGGGAACCGAGTACTGCAAGGTACGGGTTATTTTATTACCGGTCTCGGAGTGAGTAAAGTGGTTGAAGTCGGCGTTGAACAGCTCATTCGCCAGGCTGACAGGGACGGTGATGGCGAGCCAGTCGCCGGCAGACGAGATGGGGGTCGCATTCACGCCAGCCTGAGCGAGCCAGGTCTTGACGGCATCGGAGGTCTGTGCAGTCGGCGTGACAAACTGTTCGACCTGCGTAGCAAGACTTAGCGCCGCGGGTCATGCTGGAGAAATGCACACACCTCTTCCTTACTGAGGTGCTGGCCATAGGATGGGCCATCCGGCGAGCTAACAGCGTATAGCGCATCAATGAGCCCATCCGGGTCACTGTGCGCGAGCGCAATGCGCAGGTTGAGCTCTGTATCCGCGGGAGCAGGTCCGTTGCTGACGTAACCAGGAGGCGGTGCGGATATGGCCTCGTGGACCTTCGTGCTGCGAGCCGTAGACTTCGCGAAGGCGAGCGACAACAGTGCAGAGAAGACAAGGAGCTTAGTCACCATCTTGCCTGGAGAGTGTGTGAGTAAGGAAATGATGCTGCAGCCGCGATGCTCGCTGCTCGAGGAAGCTGCGTGCTGAGTCTTATAGCGTCGCAGACTGAGCGCCGAGGGATCTAAAGCCTGCCTGTGCGGAAAAAGTGATGGTCCGACACGTCTGTGATCATGCGTTGCAGAATACACGGGAAATTCCGCAACATGTTCGTGCCTTTTTAAACGTAGGGAGCTCTGGCCATGTAGGGCGACTTGAGGGCGACGGATGCCATGTTGGCGATTAGGCCAGAAACCTTGATTAGAGACATCTGTGAAACCAGGGTTCCACCCGTGCCGTCTGTTGGAACAGGGATACCTAAGTCTCAGAGAGACGTTGGACAGAGGTCCGGTCTAGTATCCTGAGTGACTATGAGTACAAATCGACCTGACCTCAAGAAAAAAACACACATGTACACGAGGTTGGAAGACAATGGCCTCTTATAACTTGAACCGGCTAGGCGGCCTCCAAGGGGACAACAAGCCAACGGTAACCGCGGTAGAGATGTAAGTTCCACAGCTGTGATTGTTTGTCCAATTGAAACGGGGAGACAGAACGCGCGATACGTAACGAGAAGTTCGAGCATTGAATAATATATTAATTAAGGACTGATGCAGAAAGTGACTCACACTGGGTGGTAAGCGCACTTTTTTCCGGCACAAAATTGGCCAAAAACTGATTCAACAAGGCCCCAACTTGCTCCGGTTTTCACCTGAAAAAAACCGAAGGCAAAACTCGGTTTTCCGCCAGTTTTACTGTGTTTCAGACCTTTTTGGCCGGTTTTGCACCAGTTTCTCCTCAGTTTGCATCGGCGGTGAAATCGAGGAATAACTGGGCCTTGTTGAGCCGCTTTTGCCTGAGTTTTCTCGAGAAAAAAAACTGCGCTTACCACCCTGTGTCAGAGTCGAAAGCCTAAGCGCTTAAGCGCGGCCCCTGCGCGACTCCGTTTGCGAACCACCCCACTTGTGCTTGGTCCGACACCAAGTCATCGTCACCTTAAGCTTCCAATCCTACCTCTCATGAGAGATCGAAACATGCACGCCGCTGCCATCTCGATTAGACGACTCGGAAGTACAACCCCCTCGACGACTATTTCAGACTGCTCTTCCGATTTTCAGTGAACCCACTCCCGTCATGTTGTGTACGACAGCTCCGTTCTTGTACTGTATTTGTCGAGTAGAGCTCCATGGTTATTTTATTCATGTAATACACGCTCTAGCCATCCGCTACTTTATCTAGCTTAGTTTTCGGTACCAAGTCGGTATCGCCCGCTGTTGTCAGATCCGGGGTCTGCAGGGGCGCTTTCTCCTAAATCCACCATCTAGGTGCGCCCAACCCATATACGGGAGTAAAAATGCCACAAACGGAAAGTTTCAAGGCTGGGCTCCTTGGCTGATGTGGCGGAGGCCTAGTGTAGGACTAAAAGGTAGACCCACGACCGCAACGAGGCGCTGAGCGCATAGTTTGATGGGTTCCCACCAACGCATCCAAAAATGCAGAAATGGGTGTCTACCGCGAACGTTTTGAACATTCAAACACTTGCAGTATGATGATGAGTAGCACTTTGAATGTTTTCCCCCGCAGCCGTCAGGAAACTGCAGTGCCAGCTCACGTTTATGCCCCAGGACGCACGAAGAGTTCTGAGTCCTTCAGCAGCCCAAGAAGTAAGAGTTAAGTGTGTACAGCCTCTAGAACTTGAATTTCATCCAGCTCGATTGCGCAAATGTTGAGTGGTACGTAATGAATATATATCAGATCATTGAGGCTGATCTACGCGGCCTCTTCCAAGCAGTCGGCCTGATCGCACCCGTCTCATGACACTAGCACTGGTACACGCGAAGTTTCGAATAACGAGTCCCGAAAATTTGTCGCTGTCTGTCATCCCTGAGATAATAGCTGTGAAGCCATGAAATAATCTACGCAGAGAGCACGTTCTGCGCCGTATCCTCCATCTGGGTTGGATAGGTGTACGAAACCCCAGCCGCCTTCAGAGCCGCCGCCTGCAGCGCCACGAAGTCCGGGGTGCCCAGGCCAGTGACAGGGTCCCAGCCCTCCAGAGCTGGGAAGCCATTCGTGTTGCACCCAGGGTTGCTACCGGTCGTGATGTCATGAAACGCATGAGGATGCTTGTACAGGAATGGGTTGAGGAAGCCGAGGGTGCTCTTGTTGGCGGCGATGAGCGCGTCATTGATGAGCGCGACCATTCCCGCGAAGATGGGGCTCGCACAGCTCGTGCCGTTTATTGTCTGAACCGTGCCGTTAACGACGATGGTAACGTTGATTCCGACCGCCGCGACATCCGGGTACCCGCGCCCCGAGGCGTTGAACAAGCCCCTGTTCATCGAACCGATGGAGAAGAGGTAGGACTCGACGGCGGCGGCCTGGTATGGCGGCCTGCTGGAGTAGTTGGAGAAGCCACCGGAGGAGAAGCCTCCGGCAGTCTCGCCGCCATTCGAGGAGACGACTTGGGTGCCACCAACAATGGTCACGCTGTCGGCCCGTTGTCAGCCAAGTCGTCAAGAGAACGAATTGCAGAAAATACCTACAATGGGCACCCAGACGGGAAGGTGGGAACAAAGTCGGTACAGCTATCAGGCGGCAAGCCATGCTGGTAGCCTGAGACACCGCCATCACCGGAGGCAAAGAGGATGGAGGTACCGCGGGCGCCGAGTTGAGCGTAGGCGTTGCAAAGTTTGCTATTTCTATGTCAGTAAGCTGACAAGTCCGGGTCGCAATACACAACTTACGCAAAAAGCGGGCGAGGGGTCTCGCTCTCGTTGTCGCCGTAGCTGGTTGTCAAGACCTGTGGCGGGTTGGATTTGCCGAGGAGGAGGTTGATGATGTCCAGGAAGCCGCTAAGGTCACCGTCGAGATTTTCCTCGCCAACAGAAATGAAGGTTGCTGGCACGCCGTGGCTCGTGCTGATGGCGTACTGGATATCAAGATTCTATCCGGCGAGTCAGATGAGCACACATCCTGGAGTGCACCAGACCAAGGCGCACCGCCTCAACGCCGGCCTCGCTCCTGTTCTGCGAGTTGCGGCCGCCATCGATGGTCTCAACAGAAAATGTCTCCCCGGCAAGCTTGGGTTGGAATTCTTCCAGGAAAAGCTACAGGTACAGTTATTAGCATTTCGTGCGCCTGAACATTGAATACTGAGCATTGCACGTACCTGCAGATCGGCACGGTTGGCGAACAAATTGTCGAAGCCGCTGACAGCGAGCTTGTTTGAGCTCTGATTCGCCTTAGTGGCAGGGATATCGTACAAAAACTCGACGCAGGTGGGTGTGACCGCCAAGGTTGAACAAGGGGCTGGGGGATTAACACCGCGACGTTTGAGGGCGAACGGTGTCGAGACGACGGGGCGAGGGGAAATGGGGTTCGGGAACCTGTGATACTCCAGTCAATACCACGCTCGTACTAAGCTACACCATTACTCACGTGATCGTGGGATAGACGAAGTCGAGATGCCCTTCAAGTTCGACGGGAATTGAGTAGCTCGTCGTGCGAATTGTCTGCTTGCCGGTATTAGAGTGGGTGTAGACGGCGAAATCGGCGTTGAACAACTCATTTGCCTGACCAACAGGGACAGTGATGCTGAGCCAGTCACCGGCAGGCGAGATCGAGGTCGCATTCACGCCAGCCTGGGAGAGCCAGGCGTTGACGACATCGGAGGTTTGTGCAGTCGGCGTAACAAACTGCTCGACCTGCGCAGCATGGCTCAGCACTGGCGTGGGACATGTTAGAAGGAAATATGCTCACCTCTTCCTTGCTGAGGTGCTTGCCATAGGACAAGCTGCCTGGCATGCTGACGTCGTACAGCGCGTCTATGAGCCCCTCAGGGTCTCTTTGCGCGAGCGCAATGCGCAGCTTCAGCTCAGTATCTGAAAGAGCAGAGCCAACGCGAACATAGCCGGCCGGAATGCTCTCTATGGCCTCGTGTATTTTCGTTCTGCAGGCCATAGGATTTGCGAAGGCGAGCAAAAATAGCGCAAAGCAGACGAGGAGTTTGAGGTTGGACGCCATCTCGCCTTGAGACAGTGAGCGAGAGGACAAGAGTGCGGTCGCGGTTCTTACTGCCCGACGAAGCCACGGTTACACTGCCAGTGAGCGCCCGGACCCTGTCTGTGATGGTTGCATCGCCGAGAACGCGGGAAATAACACGACAGATCTGTGTTTCTTCGAACGAAGGGAGTAGTGGATGCCACTGGGCGAGGCCGCGACAAGACTAAAAACTCCGATTAAAAACGCTGTGAAACCAGAGTTCTATCTGCACCGTCTGTTCGAGCTGTGATTCTTGAGTCCAGGCAGAATGCATCTGCTTTGGCCCTCATATCATGGGCGGATTCTGAGGAGAGGGCATAAGCGACCCTCGGGCACGAACGATAGATCTTACGTTGCTCTGAGTTGCTGGCCAATGGATGAAGAGATGAACGAGTGGTCTTCCCATCCGCGCGGCCTCGACTGGTCTGTGAAAGCATATGACCTTCGCATGACCTAGCCTCACGCTCCAAACAGCAGCGACCCAAGTGCTGTAACAAGATAACGGATGTAAGACGGCTGGCCGACCGGAGTGGGAGACAATGAGGGACGGCTGTGCTGAGGCAGAAGGGCGAGCGGGATCATAATTGCCGTGTGCGAATGCAACTTTCTGTAGACCGAATGCAGTGCTTTCCATCGTTCTGCACATCCTTTTCAGTTTGAGCTGGGATTTGAATACACATATAGAATTACGAGATGATGAAGGTATGGGATTAAGTCAAGTCAGACTAAGCAGTCCTGCATAGGGCTCCATATCTGACCGAGACTTAGGTAAGCAGAGCACCGCTTTCGGCCAAGTTCTCGACGTAATCTTGAATTTTCCACTTTAAGAACAAACACTGGGAATTATATGATCCAGACTCGCCGCAAGCCTCAGGGTTTCATGTCATTGTATAAGCCAGATAAGGTGGAGACGTTGCGCGTATATCTGAAAGGCCTCAGCTCCCCGCACGCGAGCCCCCTCCCGCAATCTCTACTTCAAAGACAATGTCCCCACAGACCGCAAGTGCCTCCCGCAGAAATTCGATCGACCCCTCGCAGCTCGTGCCCATGCATAAGTAAGCTGCGTCACTGCACTCCATCGTTACCAGTGCTGATTGCAACGATAGGGTGCCGCAGTCGTCGGGCACCGGTGACTTCAATGTTGTCTTCGTTGGTGCCGGCGTCATCATGTTTGGTGATTCGTCATCAAACCTCGTCCTTGTTGTGTTATCGTAAGGCTCATGATGTGCTGCGTAGGTTCGGACACGGTCCCCTGGAATCATTCGTTCCGCTTTGAACAGTACGTTTCCTTACGCGATTGACGCATTCCGTAGCTGATCTCTCGCCCACAGCAAACTAGGCCCCCGATTCAAGCTTGTTGCGCTCATTGACCCCGCGGTCGAAAACGCGGAGATGCGGCTACAGCAGAAGCGTGAGACCTTCGTGCGGTCTGCCTATGAAGATACCAAGATCTTCCGCAACCTCGACGAGTTCGTGCAGAATATGACGCCCGACATGGCTCCGCGGGCGATCGTTGTTGGTTCGCCACCGATGTTTCGGGGCACGACGAGGAACGGCCGGGATGTGGAACAGCAGATCCTGAAGTACTTCCCTGGTGTCCCACTATTCATTGAGAAGCCCGTGGCGACAGGTCCGAAGGACGAGCTTTCTGATATCTTTGGGGTTGCGAAGTCAGTTTCCGCGAGCGGAACAATTTGCTCAGTCGGGTAGGTCACAAGTTTCTGGCTCGCTGTGCCTGCGCTCAGCCACGCGATATAGGTACATGCTGCGCTACCTGCGCGCCACTCAAATGATGAAAAAAATCGTCCAGGAAAATAATTTGACAGTTATAGCAACGATTGCTCGCTACGCCGCCGCCTACGAGAGCATTGCGAAGCTCGACTGGTGGGACAAGGCAAAAAGGTTTGCATCAGACTCGGCCTGCGTACGTCACTTGTTAAGGCTCATGCAAAGACTACCTTCAGCGCTGGGCCAATCATCGAGCAAGCGACGCACTTCTGCGACCTGTCGCGCTACTTTGGCGGCGAAGTCGACATCTCGACAGTTGTTGCACACTCGGTCGAGTGGGATGAAGAGCCTGGACGGCTTTCGAAGCTCCAGTTCGCGGAGTCGCTCATCCCGCCTGAGAACCGAATTTCGCGTGCGACGTCTGCTACCTGGTCAGTCACCTTTTTGGAAACAGCTCGGCAGGCCGATTTACATTTATGTGCAGGAAGTACAAGAACGGTGCCGTTGGAAGTCTGACCCACCTCGTCGCTCTGCAGGGCCTCGACTACAGCTGTGAGCTCGAGGTTTACGCAGACGGTTACCAACTCAAGTGCGCATACTTCTCTGTCTACGTGCTACCACTTTCTGATTCAGATATCTCTAGACTCCTGAACCCGTACGTCCAGCCGGTTCTACACATCCGGCGGCCAGGCAGCGATGCGGAGGAGGTGCATAACTTTGCGGAAGACGACCCGTACTTCTCTGAAGTCTCGGTGTTTGTCGACAACATCGAAGGCTCACCAGAGGCGGCGCAGATTCTCTCCAGCTTCGAGGACGCTGTGCGGACGTACGAGCTGACGTGGGCCATCCGCGAGGCCGCGGAGCGGTCGAGGGCGGCGACGAAGGCGAAGTCGGCGTAAAGGCAAGATTGCTCGAGTGCAACTGTACAATACGTGTCCAGAGGTGAATAGAGTTTATCATCGGTAGTCGATCGTTCGCTTCTCGAAACATCTTTCAAAGGACGCTGCCATGAGGCAGAGTTCCGTTTCTAGGACCCTGCACTGAATTCTCAGGCCTCCCTCACGTGTTTATTGAGGTAACAACCTTCTGGCCCTACTTGCAGGCCCCGACTTACCAAGTGAGTGCGTGAACATGCTCAAGCAGTTCAGTCTTCATAGCGTATACTGCAGATGCTTCAGATATCCGAGACCCGGATGGACCATGGGTATTAGTTAACAAGGGATATCTGGCCCGCCTGCAGGACCTGCACACTTTGCGGGAGGAGCCATGTATATGCGGCTTCTTTCGCACGACGGGCATTTAGTCTCCCCCAATTACATGTTCGAACAGCCGCAGATCTTTGACGTAGGCTCATCCGATCCCTTTTTCCTTATCGTCAACGCCCTATAGTGCTGTCACCATGCACTATCGTACCAAACACGGTCGGTGTGTACCACGAGCGATGTTGCTCGAGTTGAACTTCATGCAGCTGAGCTGCATGAATTCCATCTCAGGCTGGTACGTACTGTATCTTTGTTTGTGGCCGTTGAGGCGGCCTCAAGCAGTCGGCGTGATCGCACCCGTCCCACCACACTAGTACTGGCACACGAGGAGTTCCGAACTCTGTGTTCTTGAAATTCGCCGCTGTCTGTCATTCTTGGAATAGCTGTCAAGACGTAAAATGATCTACACAGAGAGTACATCCTGCATTGTACACTCCGTCTCAATTGGGTGGGGATGTGGAACCCTAGCTGCCTTCAGAGCTGCCTCCTTTAGTGCCTTAAAGTTCGGGGTGCCCAGGCCAGTGACGGCGTCCCAGCCCTTGAGAGCCGGGAAGCCGGTCGTATTGCATCCAGGATTGCTGCCGGTCGTAATGTCATGGAACGCGCGAGGATTCTTGTACAGGAATGGGTTGAGGAAGCCAAGCTGTCTCTTGCCGGCGCGTAAGAGCGCGTCGTTGATGAGTGCGATCATTCCCGCGAAGATGGGGCTCGAAAAGCTCGTGCCGTCCAATATCTTAAGCCTGCCGTCAATGATGATTGAAAGGTTCGTTCCAATCGCCGAGACATCCGGGTATGCCCGCCCCGAAGCATTGAACAAGCCGCTGTTCGTTGAGCCGATGGAGGAGAGGTAGGATTTGACGGCATCGGCCTGGTATTTCGGCCTAAAAAAGAAGTCGGAGAAGCCGCCGGAGGAGAACGGTGCGGCAGTCTCACCACCGTGTGACGAGACGAGTTGGGTTGCACCGACGCTGGTCACGCTGCCAGTCTGTTGTTAGCTAGGTCGCCAAGAGAAGGATGCGTGAGAAACACTTACAAGGGGCATCCAGAGGGTGAAGTTGGAACAAAGGTGGCGTTGCAAGTTTGAGACTGCAAGCCAGAGACACCGCCGTCACCGGAGCCAAAGAGGAGGGACATACCGCGGGCGCCAAGTTGAGCGTAAACATGGCAGAGTTTGCTATTCCATATTAGTGAGCTGTCAAGTCTGGCTTGCAACACACAAAAACTTACTGGGAAAGCTTACGAGGCAGATCGGACTCGTCAAAACCGTAGCTGGTCGTCAGGACCTGCGGCAGCTTGGATTCGCCAAGGAGGAAGAGGGCCATGTCTAGGTGGCCGTCAAGATCCCCGTCCGTGTTGTTAGGACCAGCAGAGATGAACGTGGTTGGCACGCCATGACTGATGCTAATAGCGTACTGGATATCTGAATTCTATCGAATGCGACAAATGAACGCATATTTAGAAGTGCGCAAGACAAATACGCACTGCCTCAAAACCAGCCTCGCTCCCGTTTTGCGGATTGGTGCCGTTATCGATGGTCTGAAGAGTGAAGGTCGCCCCCTTAATGTCAGGTTGGAATTGTTCCAGGAAGGTCTGCAGGTACAGTTGTCAATATGGCGTGCGTTCAAACATTAAGCATCCTGCGTACCTGAAGATCGGCTTGGTTGGCGAACTCATTCTCGAAGCCGCTGACAGCGAGTTGATTGTGGCGCTGGGTCACCTTGATGGGGGGAATGTCGTACAGAGACTCGACACAGGCAGGTGTAACCTCCGAGGTCGAGCAATTCGCTGGGTGTTTAGTGGCACGGCGCTCGAGGTCAGACGATGTCGAGACGACAGGGCGAAGGGAGACCGGGCTCGGGAACCTGTGACGACAGTCAAAGTCACATTCGTACTAAACTGCTGCCTGCACCATTACTCACGCGACCATAGGGTGCACGAGGTCGATGTGGTCCTTGAGTTCGGTGGGAATTGAGTATTTCATCGTGCGAATTGTCTGCTTGCCGGTCTCGGAATGGGTGTAGATAGCGAAGTCGGCGTCGAACAGCTTGTTCGCCTGATTGACAGGGAGAGCGATACTGAGCCAGTCGCCGGCAGCCGAGATCGGAGTCGCATTCACACCGGCGTGGTTGAGCCAGGCCTTGACGGCATCGGAGGTCTGCGCAGTCGGCGCGGCAAACTTCTCAACCTGAGTAGCACGGCTCAGCACCAGATGACATGCTGAAGAGAAATGTGCGCACATCTTCCTTGCTGAGATGCTCGCCGTAGGCCAAGCTGCCCGGCGTGCTGACGTTGTACAGCGCATCGATAAGCCCATCCGGGTCACTCTGCGCGAGCGCAATGCGCAAATTGAGCTCCGTATCCGCGGGAGCAGGCCCTTTGCTGACGTAACCCTGAGGTGGCGCGGATACGGACTCGTGGACCTTCATGCGGCAATCCATCGACTTCGCGAATGCGAGAGAGCACAGCGCAGAGAAGACAAGAAGCTTGGTCGGCATCTTTCCTGGAGAGTGTGAGCTGGAGAGTAATGTTGCAGCCACAATGCTTACTGCTCGAGGAAGCTACGCGCTGTCTTTTATACCGTGGCAAACTGAGCGCTGTGTCTTAAAGCCTGCCTGTCTAAGCCCAGTGTGGTCCAATATGTCTGTGATCATGCGTTGCAGCACATACAGAAAAGCCCGCGACAGGTCTGAGCTCTTTCGAACGAAGGGAGCTCTGGGAATGTAGGGCGACGGCTGGAGCTTGGGCGAGATGTCTTAGTGACTCAGCTATACATTTTGATTAGAAACATTGTAAAACCAGGACTCTACCCGCGCACAAGTCTTAGAGAAGTTGGACAGAGGACTAGGGGGCCAACATATCCCCTCGAAGGGGATAAAAAGCCGACGGACATCGCAGTAGAGGTGTAATTTCGGTATTGCGACTGTTCCTTCATCTGAAAAGGGGAGATAGAAACGAATCCGGGTATGTATAAATAGTGCCCAAAGTCGAAAGCGTCACCGCGGGCGCGGCCCCATCCGCGAAACACTCCGCCCGTGACTGATCCGACATCAAGCCACCGTCACCTCCTATCTCTCATGTGCGAAGATCAAAACATTACGCTCAGAAGAAACACCCAAGTTCCGCGTCGGGTCGACACTCGTCGGGCGCCTTGACTGACACCAGGACGGGTCAACTCATCTAGATACCATTTGGGACACCGACGTGCAAGAACTTGAAAGTGCACTTCGGTCCGTACGGTAGCGCTCATGATGCGAGTTCGAGATTTATCATCTATGCCGCCGCCCAGTTCCAGTTTGGCGACGTTGCACTTTAGTTCGCGCTCGTGCATGCGCATACACGTACATTCATGTCTGTGCATCTGCATGCATTTTTGGGCACTCTCAGGCAATATGTTGCATGGGTGCTCACCTCTCAAATGAAAACGAGTTTTTGCATGTTTCTAGTTTACAACATGCTGATTTTTGTCCATGCCCAACCTTCATACAGCTGTGTAAATTTCATCTGTCACATGCCATACAGTTATCCACTGCTCCTTGATACACCACCATTCCTTGATACAGTGTGCAGTTCAAAGCTTTCAGGGTGTGTTAAATTAGCAGAAAATCATGGTATGTGTATCCTTTCTGGAACTCTTGCAGAGTGATGCTAG